AATCAACAGGTCAACTCTTGGTCAAAGTCTCAGTCCTGGTCAAAGTCAACCTTCCTGGTTGATCCTACTCGCCGAGTCAACCTATCGACTCGTCGAGTTTATGAACTCAGAAACCCACCATACACGACCCGACTCGCCGAGTTCCTAACAGACTCTCCGAGTCACTACGCGACTCAGTGTCTGAAATCTCAAACCCACTCGCCGAGTCATCTCCCAAACTCACCGAGTCCACTCGGGACTACATCGAACCAAAACCCCACTCGACTCACCGAGTCATCTCCCAGACTCGCCGAGTTCATACGAGTATTCCCATAATCGAATGATACAGAGCTACTCCTTTGATCCAAACAGTAGATCTAGGTCCCTAGAGCGCATTAGCAACATAAAGTTGCTACCTTTACGTGCTTTCATGTCCCAAAATCCGAAAACCAAGCTAGAAAGGAACTTAACTCATGAGGGATGGCTTTTGCATAACAATACTAATGGCTTTCTGCATTTAGGATCCAAGTAGAACTCAGATATGGAGTTTCAACTCCAGATCTAACTTATGCACCAAAATCTCATCATATCATCCCCAAACAAGCCCTAAAATTCCATGAAAGATGGATTTAGAAAGGAGAAGGGCCAAGGAAGCGATTCATTACCTCAAGACGACCTCCAACTGATGAATAATCCGGATCTCCACAATTCTCCTTGATACAAGCTTCTTGATCCACAAGATCCCTTCACAAAATCACTTATCCAAGCTCCAAGATGCTCCCAAGGCTCTCACTCACGATTTTAGGGTTTCTGGATCTCAAAGGGTAGTAAGGGGCCGAGGGGTGGACAATAGATCCTTTAAATAGGGTGAAAACCCTAAGATTTAGGGTTTTCTCTTCACAACACTGACTCGTCGAGTCACGCCGCCGACTCGGCGAGTCAGGCCACTTAACACGTGCTCCTCACATGCTCCGACTCGACGAGTTGTAGCTCCAACTCGCCGAGTCCATCCTCCCATTTACACTTTACACCCCCGAACTCTTGCTTCTGAACTTGGGATGTTACAATTCTCCCCCACTTAAATTAGGCTTCGTCCTCGAAGCCTGCTGCAGCACACGATTTCGGATAACACTCCTTCGATGCAACCTTCGATCTCAAACCAACCCAGGTTTCTTCAGGCACTACTATCGAATCCCTAAAAAAAATCAACTCCTTCTCCTGCAGGGCCCTGACAACTGATCAAAGCCGGCCACCGACTTCTTTTCCCTGATGACAACACATATCAACTAAGTATCACCTGATGATACTACCATATTCCCGTCTTACACATTCATTCACAGCTTGCGAAAACTGGATACCATTATAAACCACCGGGCCCTGACCCAGTACTAATCTGCTATCCCTTGCCCAACTGGCGCTACTTCTATCAAATTGTACTGTTGGGAACTCATCCTGTTTCCTTCCTGAATCCAATCCCTTTCCGCGCTGACATGATAATGCATTCTTCAGTTTCCGAGCAACTCCTATGAACTCCCATCTATAACACATATACACATCGTACCTGGCCCAATCAGCCTCGGGCTGGAATACCAGACACGCCTACGATGGGTTCAGTCATCCCTAGGATGGAATACCACTACATACATAACCCATGACTACAACCATACTTGGAATCCAAGGATCTATCCTTGCATCTTTTCCGAACTCCTATGATTCGACACCACCGATAATCATTCCACAACCTCAACAGACACCCAACCCAGATGTGCTCCCATATAACTAGTACAATCCCAATGTTCACTGTCCATAACTGAAATACTTTCGATCATCCATTCACACTACTGCTTTCCTTTCAGTTGACCAACACTCCTTCCCGGAGATACATACCTTTCCCTTCTATTATTCTAGGAAGTCTACTCGATGACCTTTACCATATCAACAAGTGCCACGGTGCTAAAACTCCATTATACACTATCCATTTGTAGAGCAACTGCTACTCCGAAACTCCCATATATTCAGAATTTGATCACATAACTAACAAGGCCCACACACAGCCTTCAGCTAACTCCATTATCATGATCAATACTTGGGGACAGACTTACTGATTGCTATTGCATAGCAACATACTCAATCAATCTCCGCATACAGGTCTACTAACACATACAAAGTCTTCAGCATGACTGGACCGCCTTACCGGGCCTTCAGCCTATCTGGACCACTCTCAAAACCTTCAGCATGTCTGGACCGCCCTCTTGGGCCTTCAGCCTGTATGGACCGTTCTTCGAGCCTTCGGCTTGACTGGTACGCCCACCGGCCTTCAGTCTATCCGGACCGCTCAAAACTGTTGTACACCACCCTGAACCATACTTCCCGGGAACCTCTCCCATGTAGACTGTTCTAGACCTCTTGGGGTTCCGAACTCCAGATCCATTCTATGAATTTTAACCCCGGCCTAACCCCAGGCCTCATGTCAGTCAACCACCTTATCTGAAACCATGTTCTGCTCCTTGACCCACGTGTCTATCACCTGCTCTAACCAGACCACACTCTCGGCTAAAGACACTGCTGAATCTAACCAACCTTGGATGCTTGCTGTTTCACATGAGAATTTTCCAATTCTCCCCACTTAGTGCACCAACTACTAACTACCGATGGCGAAACCGGCATAGCTCAAACGTCCCTACTCGATATTATCCCCCTTATCCATGAGCTGATTCCCTCTGGAGTGAGCAACCTTCACAGAACAACCCTCCCTACATCGCACATCCGAACTCCAAGGAAGTTCGAATCTCAGCTGAACACTTCTCACATCGCAGATGCTATACCTAGCAAAGAGATCATACAACCTATCTTCCGATCATCTATACTCCTGGGAATTAACCGTCTACAACTCTTAATTACTAAAATCCTCAGATCTACTAAGAATCATGCTGAAAAGACGGAAAGGTTTACAATACCACACAATAACAAGATAACAAGATAGAAACATACCAGCAGCTACATCTGGCTCTGACCTGACCTCCTCTGCTGTAAGCTGGAAAGCGCGTCCTTAAGCCCTCGGAGGCTCCGCTTCACCCTGACCCCCGCCAGTAATCCTCAAAGTGGCCGGTGCTGGAGCCTGCACCGGTCTTGCAACAAGTTGTGGACAATCGGCCCTCATGTGACCGACCTGATGACAGTGATAACAAATCCTCACATCCTGAACCGGGGCCGACTGACGGCAATCCCTCGCATAATGCCCTTCTCTCCCGCACTTGCGACACGTACCACCGGACCTACAAACTCCGGTATGACCCTTCCCACACTTCTCACAAGTGTGGCTGCTCTGTCGTCCAATCCTAGAGTCCTTATGATCGATCAATCCAGGTTCGCTGGGAAAATGACTTAATAGGGTAATATATTTCTCCTTTTGTACACATTTAGTCCTTAAGACTTTTTTGTTTCAAAATAAGTTTTTTTTTTTTTTTTTTTTTTTTTTTTTTTTTTTTTTTGTACTCGTTCAGTACTTATGAATGATTTCTTTAGGTTTTTGTCATAACATCTTACGTGTGACAATCATTGATGAGGTGTTTGGGGGTTGTTGATGCTTATGTCCATCGCGATCTCGACTGCTTGGTTGCGTAGGTCTTGTGGTTTGGCTTAGGTCTTGTGTTCTGAACGTCGTAACTTCTTCATACGATATCAGATTTTAACGATCTTTATATCAACGTGTTTATTTTTTGAGTCTACTACAACTTTCGTTAAAATTACTTCCGTTAAAATGTAAAATATTTTTACTTACGATTTTATAAAAAAAACATCCATACATGCATTCATAAAAAATGTATGGATATAAAGATCGTAAGTAAAAATATATTACTTTTTAACGGGAGTAATCTAAATGAAAGTTGTAGTAGAATAAACTACGAACGCATGAATATAAAGATCATTAAAATCCGAGATCGTATGAAGAAGTTATGACGTGCAGAACACATGACCTAAACAACCAAGTAGTCGAGATCGCGATAGATATAAGCATCAAGAAACACCTCATTAATGATTGTCCCACGTTAGATGTCGTGAGAAAAAACCTAAAGAAATAATTAATAAGTACTGAATGACTACAAAAACAAAAATGACTTATTTTGCAACAAAAAAAATATGAAAGACTAAATGTGTACAAAAATATTAAGAACTAAATGTATACAAAATGAGAAATCTATTACCATATTAAGTAATTATACCGGCTAACATGGAGTAGTCGGTCAGAAGGACTGAATGTGTACAGTTTAACAAATTGAAGAGGTAAATATAGACGGAAAAAAAACTCAGTAACCAAATATATACAAATAAAAAAATATATTATCTTTTTAAGTCATTATTATTATTTATTTATTATTTTTTTCGGATAATGACTTGAAAGGGTAACGAACTTTCGACTTTGTTCACATTTAGTCACTAAACTTTTTTTCGTTATCTATTTGCCATTGAACTATTGAAACTGTTCACATTTTACCGGTCATAAGGGTAAGGGTAAAATGTGAACAGTTTCAATAGTTCAATGGCAAATAGATAACGAAAAAAAGTTTAGTGACTAAATGTGAACAAAATCGAAAGTTCGTTTCTCTCTAAAAAAGTTCAATGACTAAATGTGAACAAACTTCCTCTTATATTATGTTTTAGCAAAATTATTTATTTTTGTTAAATTATAGCAACATTTGTTGATGAATAAATCTATAAAATAAAAAAAACAAAACCCCGAAAAATATATTAAAAAAAAACGAAAAACCGAAACCGAAATAAAAAACCAATGGTTTGGTATTTTCCAATATAAAAAATCACAATTTTCCAATCTGATTTTGGTTTTACAAAAATTCAACTTTCGGATTTCCATATCTAAATCTCTTCCCCTTTTTATAATCAAAAAATGATTATAAAACCAAAAAGGGAATGAGAAAGCGCTCAATTCAGAATTTTTCTATCAAAAACTCCCCCTTGTGACATGAGAGATAGAGAGAGACATGTAAACACCTCTATATAAGATGGTGGGTTCATACCACTTGTAGATGTGTGCTTGAGAGATGTAACATTGAGAGTGTTAGTGTGTGCTAATTATGTAGATTTAGATGTAGATCCTTTTTTTGTAAACACCTTTCATAATCGAATGCATCTCTTAAACACCCAAATCACCATGTTCTTCGTGTGTTCTTTAATTCCACATGCCAAACTGATGGTCATAATTCACATCAGTAAGAATGGTTCATTTTTTTGTAAAACCAAAATCAGATTGGAAATTTTGATTTTTTATTTTGGAAAATGTCAAACCATTGGTTTTTTATTTCGATTTCGGTTTTTCGTTTTTTTTAATATATTTTAAGGGGTTTTTTTTTATTTTTTTATTTTTTTATTTCATAGATTCCTTCATCAACAAATGTTGCTAGAATTTAACAAAAATAAATAATTTGCTAAAACATAATACAATAGGAAGTTTGTTCACATTTAGTCATTGAACTTTTTTAGAGGGAAACGAACTTTCGATTTTGTTTACATTTAAGCAGAGATGAGCGATATTACCTCAAAACCCTAAAATGGAGTAGGAGGCAGTGAGAACGAGGCTTGGAGAAAAATAATAGTATATGGTGTTAACGGAGCTGCTCGGGAAAGACTTCGCAGCCCTCTCGTTTATGTCTTAAAAAAAAATTTAAGGATAATGAGTTGAAAAGGTAGCAAACTTTAGACTTTGTTCCTATTTAATCACTAAACTTTTTTTCGTTATCTATTTGTCACTGTACTATTGAAACTGTTCGCATTTTACCCTTATGACCGGTTGTTACCGGTCATAAGGGTAAAATGCGAACAGTTTCAATAGTACAGTGACAAATAGATAACGAAAAAAAGTTTAGTGATTAAATAGGAACAAAGTCTAAAGTTTGCTACCTTTTCAACTCATTATCCTTAAATTTTTTTTTAAGACATAAACGAGAGGGCTGCGAAGTCTTTCCCGAGCAGCTCCGTTAACACCATATACTATTATTTTTCTCCAAGCCTCGTTCTCACTGCCTCCTACTCCATTTTAGGGTTTTGAGGTAATATCGCTCATCTCTGCCTTTGTTCTCCGTTATTTATCATAAAGATACTTTGATAGTCAGTTTTCTTGTTGTAATTGGCTTCGGAAGGTAAACCCTAGTTCTTTTGTAACCTATTTCCAAAAGTTCATGTTCGTAGTTCCTTCATCCTTTTCATATATTCTATAGTAGCATACGCTTTTGTTATCTGGGACTCCTGATGTGGCTAAACTGTATTTTTCTGTACCATTTGTTGATTAGATGAATCGTAGTAATAGATTTTGCTAATTTTACTTCTTAGATCTGTCAGAACTTAGACGTGTAAGTTACGACTCCCACGAGACCTAAGGCTATAACTTCAGGTGTTTGATGATGGGTTTGGTAAACGTTAGTACACAATACAGTTTGGTTTGCTGGTAATAGGGTTTTACTTTTCCTTCTTTGTCAAATAGGCCTCATTTAACTTGCAAATTGATAAGAATTGTAATTTTTTTTGAGAAAGAATTAGAGCTAGGTTAAACTTTACACCAAATGCCATGAGTAGAAAACTTGGGGTTTTAATCAGAGAGTAACCGCCTATCAGAGAGCTTTTCTTTTTTCTTTTTTTGTATCCTTTCATTTGGGATGACATAGTATGGCTGTGTGTATTCTTAACGATGGTACAAAATGTAAAATTCTGTATACACCCAATCATCTGTATTTGTTGATCTTGACAGGTAAAGTTATCAAAGATGTCACGTGTCTATGTTGGTAATCTGGACCCAAGGGTTAATGAAAGAGAAATCGAGGATGAATTCCGCACTTTTGGTGTCATTCGTAGGTAAGAGAGAATAAGTCCTTGAATTCCTTCAGGTTAAGCTGTTATGGCTTATGATTATATGATTAAAGTTTCATTTCATTTTAATCTGCCATTATTGATAAATGTGCAGCGTATGGGTTGCAAGAAGGCCTCCAGGCTATGCTTTTGTTGATTTTGATGACAAAAGAGATGCTCAGGATGCCATCCGTGAACTTGATGGTATGTGAACAAATATACAAATTACAATACATATTCCATTTTTTCTTAAATTGCTCTATTTGTACATTTACATGTTCCTCTTTTGGGTTCTGACTTCTCATCTATTATTCACTGAACCAGGTAAGAACGGTTGGAGAGTAGAGATGTCACATAACTCTAGAGGAGGAGGTGGTGGCGGCGGCGGCGGCGGTCGGGGAGGAGGTCGTGGTCGCTCCGGTGGTTCTGATCTGAAATGCTATGAATGTGGTGAGCCTGGTCATTTTGCTCGTGAGTGCCGTGGTGGCGGCGGCGGTGGTGGTGGTGGAGGTAGACGTCGCAGCCGGAGCCGCAGCCGCAGCCCCGCTAGATACCGCCGGAGCCCTAGCTATGGTCGCAGGTGAGAATAGACACTCTTATTATTATTATTATTAAAGTTGATGATTTTTGGATTAATTTAATTATTTTTGGAAAAGGAGTTACAGTCCGCGTGGGCGGTCACCGCCACGCCGGAGTTTGTCACCACCTCGTAAGGCAAACTACAGCAGGTCACCACCATATCGCGGACGTGATGAAGTGCCATACACAAACGGGTGAAGTTCTTTATATATATATATATATATATATATATATATATATATATATATATATATATATCTTTTTAGTATTTTTTTTTTTTGAATATTTTTTTAATGTCATTTGTGTATGGTTTCAGAAATGGGCTTAAGGATAGGCGTCGTAGCAGGAGCTGATTGTTATGTTAAGGAGGACTGAGGAGATGAAAGGACAAGTTGTTTGAACTCAAATAGTGTGGAAGTGGATGAATTTGTTATCTGTGACTGTGACTGTGACTGTGTTTTCATCTTTCTAAATTCTAAGGTTCTTAACTTTTCAAAGTATCAGAGTTTATTTTATTTGCTTCTTAATAGACACAGAATGTGTATGTCAGGGATAGAAATAACAGTGCTAAAGTAATATGCTTGTTTTTGTGTGTCGAGGTGTTTATGCTTCTACTACTACTACTTCTACACTCTCCGCTTCTCTGCTCTGGGATCATCATTTGTGGGTCCCAGCTCACCAAATTAGTCCTGTTTTTGTTAACGGCATCATAGAAAGGTACTTTGATCTGTTCTTGAAATATATTCATGACAAAAAGACAAATCTAGTCATCTTTTTTTAAGCTTTTTTTTTTCCAAAAAGTACCCAAATTTTAAGAAAACTACCCATTTCGCAGAATGGGCCATCTCTATATATGGCATTCTTTTCATTTTTCCTTAATTTTACACTAGATATTTTTGTGAAATCATTCTCAATCCAAGACTTCGTTTTAGCAATATAAAGCTATTTTTTGCTGTGAAAATGGCCTTTGAAGGTTTTTACCACAAAAATATTTCAGAAAATGTTTTCCTGACAAGAAATCACGATTTTCACAAAAACATTAACAGTTTTGCCTGTTTAAACACTGCTTTGTACAGTACTGTTTCTTTTTTTTTTTTTCGTCACAGTGCCTATTCCTACTTTACTGCGAAAATGGTGGTTCTAAGTGGAATTTTCTTAATTTTGGGTTAATATTTGGAAAAAGTTTAACAATTAATGCCATTTTTGTCTTTTTTGTTTTTATATATTCTCCTTGAGCTTGAACTGATGGGACTGTAAGTAGAGATTTTAGAAATATTATTACAACGGACGTTTTTTTTTTTTTTTTTTTTTTTTGCCTAATTGTAATTTTGGGTTTTGCAGTCTCTTGCCTTTATAATCTTTTTTCCTGCAACTGCTATATAGTTGTTGACAATGAAATAGTTCTTCAGCAAGGAGACTTCTCCTTGCATCCTTGGCAGATGAGACAGTTGTCAACCACTGATTAGTTTTGCCACGACAACTCTTTATTACAAATACATAAATTAGGTGTTAACATGGCAAAATAAGGCACAATATTGTGCTGATATGCATTGTGCTTTGAAGCTGACATGCATGGTTCTTCATGATATAAGGGGGCTGTTTGATAGTTGCTGGTTAACTTAAATTTGATAGTTCTACATGTGATATCAAACAGATTCAACTTATTACCAAACTTAGTAAGAGGAATATCAAATAGCCTCTAATTTATCTTACCCCAAATCTATAATATTGTGGAACTGGGTATTGTTGTACAGTTTATTAAAATAAATTATTTTGATATAAATATTACAAAATTAGTACATTTATAAAATAATAATTATTATGGCCGTTATATAGATACCTTGGTCGTGAGATTTATGTAAATTAATTGATCTAATATAATATAAGAGGCATGATTGAAACATGAGATGTGGTGGGGAGAAAGTGGAGGGTAGGTACAAGAATATTAATTCTAGTAACATTATTGCAAATGAGTGGATTGTTGTATTAAATACCAATTCTAGAAAAAAATTGTCCTGTAGTTGGTGAGTATTTTTTTTTCTTTAAATGTCACCATATCCCAATGTTTGTGCAATTTCATTTTGAAATGTATAAATATTAAAAAGGTCATCTTAATTGTGGTTAAGTTTTTTTTGGAACCGGCAAACGAAATATATTAAAACCAATGAAAAGGAAACAAGCCACAAACAGTGGCGAACAAGATTCAATAAAAAACATACGAAAAAGAAAAATAAAACAAATGAAATGTAGCTGAAATTGGGTAGTTCAATAGGAAAGAGGGCATTGAGACCATGTTGCCCATTCAATCCGATCTACTTTTCCCCTATTTTTCACCCATAGATAAGTCAATGATTTTACTATATCACAGACTTTATCTGGTGGAAGCCGGTTCCTCCTGAAAACTCTTTCATTCATTGACTTCCAAATGCTCCATAGTGTTCCATAAGACACAATCAAGAGCAGCTTACTCCTTCTATGACACATCCCCCATTGAGAAGCAAACTTCATCACTTCCTTCACCATGTGAAAAGCTTCCATATTCACATTACACCAGCTGGATATACCTTCAAAAACCTTTTTAGCATAAGGGCAGTCCACAAGGACGTGATCAATGCATTCCTCATACTCATTACACATAGGGCAATTCATAGTTTCCATATGTACCCCCCCTCTTGGATAGCTCCACTGCGACTGGAATCCTGCCCATATTTGCCCGCCAAATAAAACGATTGACTTTTAATGGGATTACTTAGATGATGTTACCCTCGGTGAGCTGGGGACGGTAATCCCATCTATGTCTGAGAGCACAAACAGTGTATATTCCACTCGGGGTAAGTCCACACCTCCAACCTCCTCCGTTAATTGTAGGATTTTTGGAAAGCACCGATGTAATATGTCTTTTTTTTCAAGATCGGTTCTTATTCTAGCAATATTATTCCACACACCTGTTAATGATCTCTTTGAGTAAACATCATCAGGTTTCGACTTGAGATTATGTAGACTTAATATGACTTCTGACCAAAGATGATGAGGTTCGGTTCTCAGCTTCCACCACCATTTCATTATTAGGGAGATATTAAGGGCTTTTATTGTACCGACACCCAGACCACCCGATTCCTTGGGAGCAACTACCTTTTCCCAAGAGATCCAATGAATTTTCTTTTTTTCTTCTGATGCACCCCATAGGAACCTATTCCTCATTTTCTCAATAGTTTGGATTACACCGTCCGGAGCAACAAACAGTGACAGGAAATATGTTGGGAGGTTGCCAAGGACCGATTGGATAAGTGTCAGTCTACCACCAAAGGAGAGGGTTTTAGACTTCCATTTTGAGAGTTTGGCTTGAAATCTTTCAATGATTGGTTTCCAGTTCTTCTTTAAGTTCATGTTGGCTCCAACCGGCACTCCAAGGTATGTGAAAGGGAGAGAGGAAGGTTCACATCCAAGAGTACTGGCCCAGCTAGAGACTTCATGCATTTCCACACCTACTCCAAAGACTTTGGATTTGTTGAAATTCACTTTCATCCCAGATGCAGCGTGAAAGCAGTGTAGGATTCTAGCAAGGTTATTAACGTTTTCCTTTGACCATTCCCCAATAAATAATGCATCATCTGCATATAGTAGGTGTGAGATCAAGGGGCCTCCATTTGGTAGTTTGACTCCATGGAAGATACCTAGTTCACATGCAGATTGCATCGCAACACTAAGTCCCTCCATGGCTGCTATGAACATAAATGGGGAAAGCGGGTCGCCCTGCCTAACTCCTTTGGATATCGGGAATTCCTCTGTCGGGTTTCTGTTGAGTAGGACAGAGGATCTTGCAGAATTAAGACATCCTGTTAGCCACATTCTCATTTTATTCCCAAACCCCATATGCATCAGGTTCGAGTCAAGAAAGTCCCAGTTTATGGAATCAAAGGCCTTCTCAAAGTCCACCTTGAATAGGAGAATTTTCCTTTTAGTCTTTTTTGCCCATGAGCTGATCTCGTTAACCACCAGTGGCCCGTCAAGTATGTTTCTACCCTCCACATAAGCGGATTACACCTCATCGATACAATGCCCCATCACTTTCTTCATTCTAAGCGAGAGAATCTTGGAGATGATTTTATAAATGCATCCAATGAGACTTATAGGTCTATAATCACTAATCAAGAGGGGATCCTTTCGCTTCGGAACTAATGAGATGAAGGAGGAGTTACAAGAAGAGTCAATTTTTCCGTATGCTTCAAAGAATTTGACAACCGCAGCAATGTCACCAAGTAGGACATCCCAGTACTTCTTGATGAATTTAAATGTAAAGCCGTCCGGCCCAGGGGCCTTTTCATTGCCACATGCCCAAACCGCATTCTTAATTTCCTGAAGTGATATAGGTGCTTCTAAAGCTTCCGAATCAACAAGAGTAATTTTCTTGAAGTGTCGGCTCCTAAATTTTGGTCGAACATGCCAATTTTCTTTGAATTTTCCTGCAAAGAAGGAGTATATCTCCTGTTTAAGGATGGTCAGATCCGTACACCATTCACCATTTATCAAAAGGCCGTCAATCTGGTTTTTCCGATTATTTTTATTAATGTATCCGTGAAAAAAACTTGTGTTTTCATCCCACTCTACCGCCCACTTGATCCTAGATTTCTGTCTAAGATCTCTGCTTCGAATTTTTTCCAACTCCAGGATTGACTTATACCCCGTGATCCTGTCCACAAGTTCCTGATCAGTCAACAACCTTGATTCAGCAACAATATCAAGTTGTTGAACCAAAATTTTAAGTTTTAACAGTTCAGCTTCCTCTCTAGGATGTTCCGTGGCTCGCCAAATTTTCAAATCTTTCTTTATATGCCTGAGCTTGGCCGCAAGGTACATATCAGGAGTACCATATCCAACAAAGCTATTCCAGCTGGATATGAAGGCCTTTTCAAAACCATCCCTAAGCATCCAGGAGTTGAAGAACCTGAATGGGCCGAGCCGAAATCTTTGCATGAAGTGGACAGGAGGATAGGGCAGTGATCTGAGATCTCTCTAGGAAGAGCAGTCACTGAAGCTTGAGGGAAGATGTTAAGAAGTGTGGGACATACCAGAAATCGATCAAGCTTGCTTAGTTTAAGATCAGAATTACGGAAGCAAGTAAATCGGTGACCGCCCATTTTCATATCAATGAGACCAGCCTCATGTATGAAGTTATTAAAATCACTGGCAGTTTTAACACAAAAGGTTGAATTGAATCTCTCCTATTTTCTTCTAACTGCATTGAAATCCCCCATTATGATCCAAATACCTGATATTGAGTTTTTGATCTCCAATAACTTCTTCCAAAGCGATGCTTTATCTGAACTCGATTGGGGTCCATAAACATTAGCAAAGATCAGTTGCTCAGATATGCCATTCCAGTTACCTATATTTATTAGGAAATGTCTGGTCGAGATAACCCTGCTGGAGTTGAACAAGCCGGTATCCCATACGTTCAAAAGACCTCCTGACCTTCCTGATGAGTTAACTTTGCTCGAATCAAAGTTGTCTGCACCCCAGCACCCCCTCACGTCGATATTCTCTGCCTCCATTAATTGGGTCTCTTGAATTGCTAAAAATGATACCTTGTGCTTCAATTTCAGTCTCCGAACCTAATCCACCTTATACCTTTCGCCAATTCTCCTGATATTGATTGATAACAAAATCATTGTGGCACATCAGTCTCGCCGGTTACACCAAGGATTTCCCTCAACAACTTGTTATTCGCATCTATTTCAAAGCCAATCATGCCTCCAATTTCTGCTGTGGCCTCAATTTCACTGATCGTTCTCTTGATGTTGGCGCCACACGGTTTGGGAGAGGATGTGTGTACCAAGGCTGGCCGATGGGGACCGGCATCTGAGCAACTTTCTTCTCCCCCACCGAACAGGTTTTTAATCGGGAGCTCTGAACCAACATTTGCCGGCAATTTTCCAAGAGATCGACGCCTTTTTTTTTATGAACGCTCCAATTGATCTGATTGTGTCGTGGGTATTTGTTCAGTGACAGGGTAATTGGTTGCTTTGAATGGAAACGGCCCAAAACACCCCGATTGCGCAAGATTTGAGGGGAAGGACGTGGGCTTTGTGAAGCCCATCAGCGGCTGTTCCGAATTAGGTCCAAATGCTTTAAGTGGGGCATCCAAGACCCGCCCAGGTTCATTAGCAGTTCCATCACGTGTTGCATATGAGTCAACCATCATAATTGGTTCATATGTTTCCCCATGAGACGATTCCACTTCCCCACTCACAGGGCATGCGCGTATCTGTTGTGGTTCCAAGACCGACGGCGACCTTCGAGCTGCACTGATCTCCTTTGTGCCATTGTCACCGGAAAAAACGTCGTCTCCGACACCGTTGCCTATCTCATCACCAATTATTTCTCCATCTTCTACATCGTCTATCCAGGTATCTGATACGCCTTCCTCATCCTCACCCGAGATTCTATCATCTTCGTCCGGTTCAACCTCGGATATATCACATTCCGATGCTGATTCATACGGTTGCTCATCGTCTTCAAACTTGAAGGGAAACCATGGTTCATCTTCATACTCTACCACCCCAACATCAAGGATTTTCCCCTCGACTTCCACTCTGATTTCATCATTAATTTTCTTCTTCATACCTGTAAGGATTCCGACTTTCACCACCGAGAGATCTATTCTGTCTTCAATATGATCAAAGGGGACGATAATTTCCCCAAACTTCCGAACTATAGCAGAGAAGTTGGCCTCACACCATAATGGAATAGGGAGCCCTACGATCCTTACAGTAGCAACTTGCTTAAAACTGTACTCTACATCGACACCGGGTTTTAAATATTCGAATATGTCATTCCAGTTATTTTCATTCTCCATAAAGTTCTTAGCAAAGGCCGATGAATCAAACTCTAGAAAGGCCTTCATTCCACCAGCATACTTAACATTTGCCCCAACCCCACTGTGAATGGATATCAACGCAGGTAGATGCCCCATGTGATCCAATGTTTTCACCTTACCACAAAGGGTTCTCCCACAAATCATCCTCATCGTTTTGTCATCTATTTGTAAACGAACAGGCACATTGGTTGGAGTTTGGTACTGGGGCACTGCTGGTCCCCCACCAGTGACTTCTGCATAAGATCTTCTCCCAACGAAACCTCCACTTACTGGAAATGGAGTCGTAGTGTGGCAGTTGGTTCTTTTTTTGATGAATGGCTTTTTCACCTTCCTTTCGTGTTTTGCAATGTTGATCTCTAACTTGTTATTTCTGCAGAACGTACCATTCAAACTTGCCTCTAGTATTTTCTTCTCACCGACTCCATTGAAACGAATGAATCCAAAATTTTTTCCGTTCTTCCCTTTCCTTCCCCCAAAGTAGATGTCTGTTAGCTCACCAAATGGATTAAAAATCTTCCTGAACTCCTCTTTGGTGGCTCCTGTGGGTATGTTTGATACGAAAAAACTGACTTCATCCGGACCAGTTCGATAATTCGCCGGCGCTTTCCTGTGACGTACCTCCGTCCATCCATCTCCCATTACGTATTCAAGCATATAACTGGTAATTGTGGTTAAGTGGTTGCTCTTTTAATTTTTACAACTAATAAAGATGTTTAAAGTTTCATAGAATAAAGTCGTTAATAAATTTTTTGTTTAACATATAAAATTTATAATTAATGGGCGTACAATATTTAAAATTTATACAAGAGAAGCTTAACCAAATGCATAATTTTGTTATTAGAGTTTTTCGTCTGTCATTTTTTCATGACGATTCCAAACTCAGTGGTCATTTTTTCATGACGATTCCAAACTCAGTGGTCATTTTTTCATGACGATTCCAAACTCAGTGGTCAATTACTAGTTACTAGTTCTGATCACTAAATTGGATTGTGGTCATTGATGATTCCAAACTCAGTGGTCATTGATGTTTCCAAACATGGTGACTACCGTATAGAGCCACTAATTAATAAAATGATTAATGATAAAATTAGCCATGAAAGCGTCGTTGTCTCTATTGGGCCACTCATTATGAAATTGGGCCAATGTAAACCCTAACGTCCTAAAATTGTCACAATTCAACAACTAAAGTAGGTTCCATTCAATTTCCCGGTTGCAAGTTGCCATGTGGTCCAGACGTGGAAAATGAATCTCACTTTTTTCTGAACGGCTGAGTAGATTAAATGATGTCGTTTTTGGGTTGTTTTGTATGAGGATATACCTAAGAGTAGGTTATTTTTTTATAGTCATACCCCAACCAAAATCCCCTTCTCTTTTCTCTGTAATGTTCATGTGAAGCCTCAATTTCTTAGTGTGTTCAAGTAAATGTGTGCAATTGAATAACTTTTGGTGAAAAGGTTCTTGAAAGCTTCTAATCATCTTAATTTAACAAAAATGATGTTTTAAAGTAACATCAAAGGTGACTTTGTAGTGGATATCATCTACCATAGCGTTTTCATTCCTAATCATCTACAAGATTTAGAAGGTACGAGGGATAAAGGATATCGTTTTAACTTTCAAGAGCTTGCCATCGAAGATTTGAAGGATGGTCTAAAAAAGTGATGAAGGATAAGTGTGATGCTTTGTATTATTGTGTGCATGTGGAAACTTTATCAAATGGGTTAAGATAATTGATTAATTGGAAGCCCCAGGCCCGATCTAGAGCAAGGGTAAAGTGGGCATTGGAACAGGGCCATAGGGCCCATTTTTTTTAATAGTATGTTCAGTTTCAGCCCAATCCAAATATAAAGCAGTCCAGAATCAGTCACGTACGAGAGAAGACACAAGGCAACATCAAATTGCAGTAGAAGCCAGAAGCGATCACGTTAAAAAAAAAAAACAATCAGCGAGACAACAACAACTTGGCGATAACAACTCAGTAAGGTTTGATTACTCATTTACAGATTTACTCGACTGAATGCAGTGCACTCCTGCTAATCAGGTAATAGATTATGAGGAATTGAGGATTATCAGTTTATAATTGCCAACTGAATACTTGAATGAATAGAATAATAGATTATCAGTTTAGTTGATTAGATTCATAGAAATCAGTTTAATAGTTTATCACTATATCAGATTAGTATTATAGTTATTAGTTAATGACTGGAATCTTAATGTTATTCTGAAATCTGATTCAACCAGTTTATAGAATGTTGAATGAATGATTCTGAAATAGATTATTAGAAACTTAAATAAAATTATGAGATTATGTTTATTGTATATTGTTTATCAGAATTCAGAAATTAGAGTATTTAAAGAATCAATACCACTTTATCAAATTATCGTTAATGTTGAAATTCTAAAATCTGATTGAATGTTGCATCGGATTATAATAGATTATCAGAAACTAAAATCAGATTACTAGATTATGTTAATTGTATAATTGTTTATCAAAAATCAGGTTATCTGATTATCAAAATTTCAAATTATCGTGATTGAAATTACTTGAATGTTGAAAGTTGAAACTAATGAATTTGTAGTGATGAAGTCTAAACAACCATCCGGTAGAAAAAAATGTAAAAGGAGAAAACTAGATGAAGAAAAGAGAAAGGCTGACGTCGGTTCTCTAGATAAGTTTATCCATAGACAACTGGTTGAAAAACATGTTGAAAAGCAAGAGCATGTAGAAGTAGAAGAGGCTGAAGAGCAAGAGCCCGTTAAAGAGCTTGTTGATATATGTGATCCAAGAAGATGGGAAAAACTTAATTACAAGGAGATTAAACTTTTGGCCGAGAAAGGTCCTAAAAGAGATAATAGTATTATGTATGGTCCCTACGATAAATTTGGTAGACGATTTTTTGCAGCTTTATATATAAGAACTTTATCAAATTTATCATCTATGTCATCAAAACATCAGAGTAATAAAAAATATGCGGAATAATATCGTGTGTGCACTACAATCACCCCGAGCTCTTCCTTTTTGCACTGGAAGTACCTGAAACATAAACTGAAAACCGTAAGCACAAAACTTAATAAAATTTCCCCAAATACCACATACCACACATGTCAAACATATAATAGGCCCCGCCCTAACTCGCATAACGGGCCCCGCTCCCTGAGTGTAACGGGCCTCACCCTAACTCACATAACGGGTCCCGCCCACTGAGTATAACGGGCCTCACCCTAACTCGTCTAACGGGCCCCACCCAACATACAAATCATATAAGCATAACCAGATAATAGCATACATAATAATCATCGGGGCCCGCCCCGTAAGCATACAAGCACATACCCATGCAAGAGTCACAAAGACATCTAGCATCCTAACATAATCTATCTTGGGCCGACATTGGTGCCTTAGACCCACTAAACCCAGTGAGGAAACTCACCTCGAACTGCTGAATCACACTGATAAATCTCTGGCTGCTGGTCCGACAAATCCCCGCGCTATCAATACTAATATCATCCAATTAATTATCAGATTCCAATCCATAACCATTAGTCTAAATTAGGGTAAAAAGACAATTTTACCCTTTACCTAGCTTGGTCCAAGACCAAGGCCCAAACCAACTACACAAGAAGGCCCAATACCAAAATGGTCACCCCAAAGCCCAATTATGGCCCAATTTCCCAAATTGGGCCCAAGTCCTTTTGTGGGCCTTCGTCCATGTGAACCCAAAATAAAACATCAGCCAAATTAAAATCTGATGGCCCAACAAGGCCCTAATCACCTAAGTCCAAACATGGCCAAAGACCGAGAGCCCAAAAGTCCGAAGCCCATCAGCTGAGTACGCGAGGCATACTCAGCTTGTACGCACGCTTGAAAGACAAAGTTGCACTCATAGACCCCGAGTAATAGCGAAAATTATATAAATAATCTGAATAATATAACATTACGAAAATATAAGACTAATAAACGTATAGTAACACACGGGCAATCAAGTTAAAGTTACGCAATTGAGATGCTTATTAGATTTTAGTATGTAAAATGTAGTTGTGGAAAGAAAAATAAGTATTTTACTGAAAATTATGAACTAACATATCAAATTAACTAAATTTAATTCAATTATTGAGTATAATTACAAAGTCTCTCATGGTTTCCATGGCGGCGGTGGTGGTGGGGCGGTAGGGTAAAGCGGTGGAATTGCGGTAAATATGGAGTTCTTATCAATTCCATTGCCTCCGGTTGCCGTGAGTGAAACCAATGCAGCAACCAGGCCTGCATTTCCGGCTAAAGTGGGTTCCGTGTAGCTGTAATTCCGACGCACATCTCTGTACTTGTCAAACCGGTCCGGACCTCCAACCATGGCGCCGGTGATAATGTTTGGATTAGCTTTACCAGAAGACAGCCATTGAAACCCACCTTTACATGAATATCTGACGTTGTTATCTGGTATGGATGCACCTCGATGATGAACGTGTGTTGGATATTTCTTCCCATAACCCACCACGTAGCTCATATTCATCGGGTTTTTCCCCAAAATGTAGTCCATCTGCAACCATAATTAATTAATAACTAATAAGTTGACATATAAGACGAAAAGAAAACATTGAAAGGATGAAGTTTGAGTTTGAACCTGAGAAGTGGCAAATTCACGAAGCTTATCCAAGGGGATAAACGCTGACCCACATTTCCAACCCGGGAGATCCGAAGCATCCAAATAATCTGCATAAACTGAAGCCAAAAAGACTGCATTCACGACATATTGTAGATTCTGTGCTTGTCCACGGCTGAGTTGAATCAATCCCCCTGCATAGTCATGGATATTAATTTCATCTTCCTTCAATCTTCTTTGGCATTTAAGATCAAACACAGAGTTAATTAATCCTATACAACAATAATCTATTGATCATACCTTTAGTCCAATTGAAGTATTGATACTGATGAAGGTACGAACACATAGTAAGCGATGTGGCGTTATGATAGCTACTTAACATTGACTCATAAGGGTACCCAGGATTCAGGAACAATCGAATCCTTGTTAGCAATAGCATCGCCGCCGGCGACTTGTTATCCCAACTAAGAACCCGTTGACTTGGTATATCCATTAACGCCTTTGCATGTCTCGGAATTCCTTCATTTGTAGCTAACGATAAGTAACTGATATTACCAGTGGCATAATACATCCATGCACCACCCCACATGTATTCATCATAGTACCCTGTTGAGTTGTAGTAGGGTTCTATGAAAAGATTGCCTCTACAGTATCTGCTACGCTTCCCTGAATCTCTTGCAAAGGTCCATACTGTAGCGGCACCTTTCACAAGCTTCTTGGAGTAGGCGATGTCGTTTCTAAAGACGATGGAGGCAGATGCTAATGCAGCTGCCATTTCCCCGGCGAGATCTGCTCCGGCGGTGATCAGTTGGTTTGGCCGCTTGTAATCCATGTCTTCGGGTCTTTGCCAACAATTGTGATCATCTGGTGTTGCTGAACCGTTTTGAGATCCTCCGACCTGACCATAAATGTGATCGATTTTGGAAGACGATGAGTTGAATGTACGCAGCAAGTAATCGGTTCCCCATTTGATGAGGTCTCGAGCATGATCGTATTCCTTGACGAATTTGTACTTGTGTTCGTATTCGATTACACTCCAGCTTAACATTGTCATGGCGAATGACATCGGGAAATTGAACTTGGTGTTGTCTCCGGCGTCGTAGTAGCCTCCTACTAAACCTCCCTTCACATCCGTTGCATCGCTTCCGTCCTTAAGGCCGGAATTCCCTCTCCACTTGATCCCGTTGTTCTTTGGCAACTTCCCGGCTACAACATATTTTAATAGTATTTTCTTATTAGTTGTCGGGTTGACTTCGAATATTTAAGTTTTTCTGGATCTTAAATTTATAATTGTGATCCATCTTCTTCAATGAAAAAAATAAAACTCATAATTAACAATGAAAACTTTCTGTATTCTTATCGAAACATTCTTCAGAAAATAGCTGAATTTCATTAAACAGGATGTACAACTATATATTTACTTTAATTTATATAAAAATCAATAAATATAAAAGGCTTTAAAGAATTTCAAAACAATAAGTGAAATTGTTTTGCTAATTAGTAAAAAAAACTAATTTTTTTTGATAGCTTTATTTTTTGGAAGTATTTTATTCCAATTTGTTTGATTTATTTGAGTAAACATATCAATTTAAGTTTGATGAATAAAAGTTTATTTATTATTTAATAAATATAAATATTTAATATATTTTAAACGAGCAATATTAAATATAGTCATATGTGACTTTCTGTTAATTACATATATACTTGATTAGAGTTATTTTTGAATAATATTTCCTGTATTTAATCAAGAAAACATATCAAAATATCGCCACAATTTATCCATGACGGATTCAAAATACATTTTTTTAAATAAAAATATATTATTGTAAAATAATATCTTATATTTTTGTTTTACATTTTAATTTTATTAAGGTATTGCTGTTGCATACGATTCAAGCAGATTGAATAGTCAAAGAGTTGAAAAATGGTTAGGGTTAAAAAATCGTACATTTCTGCGCGTTGAAGAAGAGGAGAGCCTTATTCAAAGCCTCCGCGTACTGATCCGGGGGTGGAGGCCGTGATTTATGCTTCGGCAGCGACTTTGTTATTATAATCGGAAGTCCGATCACCAGAAAAGCAACGAAGACGGCGATGAGGGTCCATTTCAAGGCTTTCCGTTTGACGACGATGCAGCCTAGATCCACATACCTGGTCTTGTTCTTCTTCCTGGAAGCATCATTTGGATCCAGAAGCCAACTCTGTTGAGTCTCATCTAGAGTTCCACTGTATTGGCTTTGAGTATTATACAACGATGCTTTGTCCATGTCCTCCATGTTCTTGTTTCTTCTGTTTTGATCTTCATGATCATTTTCATTTGCTATTTCCAGTGATCCACCCCAGTGATTTGCTGCGTACATTCTCTCTCTCTGTAAAATCTTGTGTTTTTAGAGAGAGAGAGGGGGAATTTCACCTGTTTGCGTTTGAACCACATGAAAAATCTATCAAAGATCTATGTGTAATGCTATAAAACTATACAAGAAAACATTATAACATGCAACGAAATGCATGATGCACAAAATTGATCAAATGTCTTTATTTCAAAAACATATACAAATCAACAATGCATATCGAAAGGTGCTATGTGTGTTACCTTTGACTAAATGAAGACGGAAAGCTTCAAAGCTTGATTTCCATGGAGTTCTTGCATAAATACATACTTCTTTGTATTTGATATTGTAGTGGGGGTCGATCGGGTTATATCAATATAGTGTTTGAGAGGCCTTAGCTTGTTGACTTTTAGAAGGTTGACATGCATTCAACTTTCATTATTTTATTTATTTTATACTATTTTTTGATGACGAGACTAAAGCTGGAAGAAGCATGTTAGAGACATGTATTTAAATATGAATTACTTACATGAAAATGAAAGTTTAGCAACTAGGGTTAGGTAAAGCTTCACATATTTTCATTTTTAATTTATAAGGTTCGAGAGATGATATCAGTTATAATAATATGTGTATTTAGCGGTTTATTTATCTAAACAAGGTGAAAAATTAATATACAAAAGAAAGATTTATATTACCAAATAAAAGTTCAATATCAAAAAGTCAAATAATATTAACCTGTTCATTATAGTTACAAAGTCATATATTACAACTAACTAGGTGTGAGACCCGTGTATTACACGGGTTTTATTAAAAAATTAACATAAATTGTTAAGAATTACATGTTTTTTATTAATAATTTTACATAAATACAAAAATCTATAATGAATAAAGTAACTATCTCAATATATCTACCCTAATAAAATGGAACATATTTGTAAAATGATGACAACAATAATGATGTAAACATTAAACATGAATTAATTAAAACTTGCTATATTTAAAAAAACAAAATGATGAATAAGTAAGTTAATGTATAATAATAAAAACAACTATTAAAATATTGACACTTATGTTTATGAATTACAAATTTCCAAAGACTTCCTTGAATACAACATTAGATGTCGTGTTCGTAAGTTTACCATATTTATCTAAAATTAATATCTTTAATTTAACTTTACTTTTAACTCTCGACAATGCAACATACAACTGCCATGAGTGAATACTGGTTGTCTCAAAAACAACCCCACCCTCGATAGTGACTGTCATTGACTTTTATTTATTGTCATTGCAAAACATACGGTCAGTGGAAATTGTCGTCTTTGAAATATGAAAGGAATCCTTTTATCCGAAGGCGTCAAAGACATTCTTGGAATAAACGTACGGTTTCCGATATTACTTCCAGATATTATTTCGGCTTCTATAACATGTTACCCAATGCAATAACCCGTAACCTCGTGCCATTGCACAATCCACATTTTTGATCAATATTCCTTAGTAACATAACCGGAACACCGACTTTTAAAACCAACTTATGAATTGGCATACCTGAAGGTCTAAGACCATTTAGAACATCAGGAGAATATAAAGTTTCATCAACTTCATCATGAAAAAAATCAGCATGAGAAAGACTATCTGAACTTAAATACTCCTGTGGATCTCCTAGAAATAATTTTAACAAACGCTCATTAATCTCTTGAACGACTTCATTTTTCGGTGCAATGATTGCTCTTTCTTGAAAATAAACCGGATTCTTTGCATTTTCAACAATAGAAGGATAGACAAATCCAATTAATGAACCAATAGGATCAACTGAATCAACAATGAGAAGATCAGTGGGAATATCAATAATTGCATCACCATCATTCAAACCACCAACTTTTCCTTCTCCTATATACAAAATCCATTTTGCAAAAGTCGCCGTTTCTTGAATATCAGATGCGAGAACACTTAACCTCATGTTTTTTGTTAATGTTAAGACTTTGCAACTTGACCAAATTATAAGAGGAACTTAAAGAAGCATTCACAATGTCTTGCCTGCTTCCATTAGGAACAACCGGTAGAATTTGTCTAAAATCGCCTCCAAAGACAATTGTTTTTCCTCCAAATGGCAATTTTGAGTTTCCACGAAAATCACAACTCAATATATCTTTCAAAGAACGATCCAAGGCTTCAAATGCATGCTTATGAATCATAGGTGCCTCGTCCCATATAATCAATGATGTTTTTTTAACAATTCGGCTACATCACTATCCGGTGCAAAAGAACAAAAGGAATCCTCAGTAAGAGAGGAATTATAAAACGTGAGTGTGCTGTTCTACCTCCGGTTAGTAACAATGAAGCAATACCACTTGAAGCAACATTTAGAACGATATCACCTTTAGATCTTATAGATGCAGGTAAAGTCTTCCAAAGAAAAGTTTTACCGGTACCTCCATAGCCATAAACAAAAAACACACCTCCTTTTTTATGTTTAACAGCTGTCATGATTTCATCAAAAATTGATCGTTGTTCAATTGTTAATGAATCAAGTAGTTGATGAGATTCTTTTTGTAGATTGTTCATATCAAAATCTAACTCCTCAGTAATCAAACGGTTGTTTGAAGAAGATACCGAATCATGATCAGGGTAAGGCTTCCCAACAAAATCTTTAAGGCTTGAACTGTTTTGGAGTAGAATTTTTTCAATCTCATATAGCGTCAAGTTTTTAAGCTGATCGTCATTAAGGGGGATAAACCTATACAATTGCAGAGTTAATTATTAAAAGATAAATATAGACAATTATCACGTAATAAAAATAATGTGTAAAAAAACTTTTAAATATTTATAAAAAAACATCAAAATTTCAAATAATAATATATTTAGCATTTAAAAAATATATAATTAATGTATAAAATGTAAGGAATGACAAAAATAATAATACCTGGAGACTTTAATCTTATTCGTTGATTGTAGAGAATTCCATCGGATAAGTATTGCCAAGTATTTTCCCAAACATAACACGGTTTAGACAAACTATTAGACTTTAGCATAGTTGCAAATAGAAACCGTAAATAATAACCAGATCCTGAATGACTTGTTTCGTCGATGACATCAATATATTCTCTATCATCTTCTAAAAGTCCAAGAGCATAACATGCATCTCTAAAAGTAGGACATATTTGTCCATTAACCGTACGAATATCTGCAAACGATTTCGGACCTTTGACTTTATTTAAAAGAATTCTCAAAAAATATGCTTCACCGAGATTAGGTGAAACTGTGTGAATCCTCCCAATAGAAAACCCTTTTTTTCTTGGCTCCCAACAACGATCTTCTTGTTTCCATACAAATTTTGTAGGAAACTCAACATAAGAAAGTTTTCGTGCATCCTCATTATGTTCATTACAACTCATCCAAGATAGGAACATCGAAGAAGAAACAGATTGTTTGTTGAGGACATCTTCAATATCATCATCTTCTCCGTATACAACATTTTATTTTTCCAGGAAGATGGAACGGAAGCCTTACAACTGACGGATATCTGTAATGAACATCAAATCCATATATACGCCACGAAGCTTTACATGCAGACAAATACCTACAATCATAGTAGTCATTTATTTCATCAACTGGAGCATCATCATTATCACCTCCGTTGTTGTTTTGTGAAACTTCAACAGTAGCCCGATCAGGACCCTTGTTAATATATTTAAACAAATATTTGATGGAAGCCGCTTGATTGCACCACTCAACATTAATGTGAGCCTGATATCGTTTCAAAAGGGTTTTGTGATATGGAACAACACTTCTGTTGTCTAACTTAACACCCGACTTTTCTATAAAATATCCATCATTACGTCTCCTATATATAGGATAACCATTTGAATCAACGGAAGTATTCTCCAAGAATGGCTTCGGGAAGTTTTTTGAACACTTGTTTTCACTCATGCATGGGCATTTAGGATTATCAGAACCACATGGACCATGCATCATGAACTCACTGACAAGTGAGTACAATTCTGGATCATCGTCTTTGTTTGGAATTTCAGCCGAAATAACTCGATCAATATGTTCAACAGTAGGGAGTTTGTAATCAAAGTGCATGAATAAACATATATGTGCGTGAGGCAGACCACGCTTTTGAAACTCCACCGTATAAACAACTGTAGATTTAAATAAATATAATATTATAAGATAATAAAAACATAAAAAAACATTTTGATAACACTATATTGTAATATATGGTACCTGCTTGGACCGAACCCAATAACCTCTTCTTCTTTAAGTCTTTAATCAAAGAATCCAACTTAATTTTGAATAATCTAGACATGATATCAGGCCTATCTTCGGGATTAAGTGTGGTGTCAGCAAGAAACCTTTTAATTTCAGGCCACTTTGGATTGCATGTTACGGTTATGAAAAAATCTGGGTATCCAAACCACTTACAAAGCGACATGGCATCTAAATAGTTTTGCATCATGTAGCGTGCACCACCCGTAAAAGAAGAAGGCAAGATAACACGTTTTCCAAAGTTGGAAATATCAGTATTACCATGACTTTGTACGCTTTTTAAAGTTTCATAAGATTCGCATATAAGAACTTTTTGCTGGTTGCGTATGTAATATAGTCTCTCAGTTTCAATCATCGTATAAGCATCAACCAGAAACTGTTGAAAAAGCCTTCTTGAATTAAGAATTAATGAAAAAACATTAACTCTGTCTTGAATTCTATAAGCAAAGAATTCTCTCATTGTACAGAAACGACGTTTGGTATTAGTTGAATGATCAACATCTCTGTGAGGTATGTCAACTCTATATCCATCATCTCCATATGGAAATAGTAGTGGGTACTGAAGACCAAGGTAAGCCGGATGTAATTCGTTTATACGTTGTAGACTTCCTGATTTAGTTGTTACGATGATATCTCTATTATCAATTGCATCACCAATGTCACCAACAATTAAAGCAGCAACCTCAGAAGCAGTAGGTAAGTTATATGTCCTTCCATCTTGTTTCCTTCTTCCTATAAGACGTAACTTTAGATCTATATGAGGATTTCATCAAAACAGTCTCTGGCCATTCTATAACACTTAACCAGCTCATTGATTGAATCCAACATGACCTTCAAAAAGCTAATGATTTCAATATCAAGAGAATGAGAAGTTGATGTGCACCCTTCGTTCTGTGTACTGTTAACAACAACGGTTATATGTAAAATTTAGCAAGTAATAATTATATCAAACTTATAAAAGCAATGGTTTATAAAAAAATTAATAAAGTTATACCTGAAAGCATGTTGTCTATTTGTTATTTCATTTTCAGTATCATATATGTATAGTTGCGAAAACTTTGGTTTGGATCCATCTGTAGGTAGAAAAACTTCCCATGCAATGGTAATTTTGACCGCTAAGTCTGAAAACGTATGGAGCATTGCCTCTATTAATGGAAGAATCAAATTTTCCACCCATTGAAGTAAAGGAAAACATCGAATTGAATCGACGAATATTCTTCATGAAATTTTTTCCTTTTAGATCAACATTACGAAAGAGATTTTGATAATTTGTTGGAGCTTCTTTTAATTCAGGAAGCTCAACTTTTCCGTTACCACAACACATGGAATAAGAAGTTTTCTTTCCAGAAGTATTGCCTTTAAGAGCTTCATGTGTCCATAATTGTGCATGACATATCGTACACACAAAAGTCTGGTCACCATGGTCCAAGTAATCTGTTCAATAAAAACAGTTGTAAAACTTTGAAATAATTTAATGTTGCAATGAGTAATAATTTAAATATACAAGGGGATTATAAAAAAAAATTATTATTTTCCTTTTGTAATACCTGATATTAATTGTTGATGGATCTGTTGATCACGTAAATCTTCATCTGATGTTAGGTCCAAAATGGGTATATGAGATATATTTGGAATCTTTCTTTTTTTATTTAGTTTTCTGCATGATAAATTGCTGGAAGAAGATCGAGTGACTGAAGATGAATTCGTAGCTCTCATGTCACCAGACAATATAGAATATTGTGCATTTACTAACAATAAAAGTATGACAATTAGAATTAAATTTATAAAGTAAATAGATAAAAAATAAAAAAAATGAATACATATTATTTTATGTGTACCATATATAGTAACAAACATTAAGTTGAATATAAATGTATTTGTACCATTTGAAATGTTGGACAACGGAGTTCTTGTAGTAAAATTAGAAGCAGATTGAAAACATTCTTGATCACGACCAATATTACCTATCAATAAAAGATAAGTTGATATAAATATGTATTAAGTAGGGAACAACAAAGAAACAGGTATAATAACATAGTATCTTTTTACAAGATTAAGAATAAGTTTATATGGATAAAATTAATTAGGTAGGATGATATATATCATATACCGATTGGTACGGTGGACATGTGATTGGATCTTCTTGTATCCAAATAAAATCTCCTTTCTTTTCGTTTATCTTTAGCCTTGTTCAACAATGGACTGTCGATATAAATATTCGAAATAGATTGAACCCGTGTTTGCTGATATCCACATGACAAAGTTGGGATGACATTTTCATTGTTACCGACAATATTGACAAACTTGCTTGATGAAGGTGTTTGAATGTTGGTAGTTATATTAGAAAGCACTGTAAAAGAATATAAAATATGTAAGTTATAATGCAGATACAAATAATTGTAAGTTAACATATAATAAGAAAACTATAAAAATAATTTTAATGATATAATTAGAAATGATATATAAGGGATTTATAAAATAATAATGTTTAATTAATTGCAATGTAGCAAAGAGTGTAGGTAAAACATAATAATATTTAAGATTCAGAGGATTGTGTGAGATGAAAAACATTGTATAAAATAAAAAATTAGTCTATCCGATAGAAAACGATATACCATTAGGCGATGTGGACATCTGATTGGATCTTTTCTTATCCAAATATAATTTTCTATGTTTTCGGTTCTCTCTAGCAGCATCAGACAATGCATTTCTAATATTTAAAGTTGAAGTAGACTGGAAACTTGTATGTTGATAAGCGGATGATATATTTGGATTCAAATTTTCACTGTCATCGCGAATATGTATAGAATTGTTTGAAGATTGTAAATGCTGCCGAGAATAACCTACATTGAACATATAATAATAACAATGGTTAATTAGAAAATACTTTGATTATATGAGATAAAACATGAGAAGATATAAAACAATATTTGTTCAAGATAAGTTAAATATAAAACATTATTGAAAATGAAAGTAAATTGAGATGTAGATAAAGAATTACCAAATGATAAGTTGGACATAACATTGGATCTTCGTTGATCCAAATATATTTTTCTAAATCTGCGCCTTTCTTTATGTTCGTTTGATTCCATATCGTGTTTGTAGCTTAGGAACAAAAAAAGTATGTAATGAAAAGTATATTGACCATAATTCCATTAAAATTTAAAATTGAAAATCATCAAAAACAGAGACATTAATACGATTAATATGTAGTAGTTAAAAATTGGTAATATTTAAGTATTGTATATTTTACATTAATAAAAATCAATACTTCCAACAAATAAGTGTATATTAACATGACAACTAAAATAAGAATTTTATAAAAAAAAATTATTTCTAAAAGATACGTAACTTATAGATAACCATATATATTAATACTTACATCAAAAAAATTTATATTCATATTGATATAACAAATAAAAGAATGATTTTATAAATAATCTACTATGAAAAGAGAAGGAAAACCCGTTTTTTAGATGAGGCCCTCAAATGTCTTCCCAGAATGTCGATTTTTGACCTAGTTTAATATACGATTCAGCACAAGAGGTTACGAGATTAATAAGACAAAGATACGGAAAGATTCATTGAAAATGACAAAAATACCCTTATACAAACATTATTGTGTTTAATTTTTCTTATTACAAACAAGTTATAATTTGCATATTCTTAATGGACTTTATTCTATTGCAAATATGGAGTCAATATAAATCATCATAATTTTCAGAAGCATAACGATGGATCATAAAGATTACTACAAACCATGTTCATCAACAGATCCCACAACTGTAATGAAAACATACGAAGGTCAACAGGCTCACCATATTGTAGGGGAAAGAATTGTAATCATTGTTTCCGAGGAGAGATCTATTTACATTTGAAGTTTATATAAAATGGAATTTTCATTTTTTTTTTACAGAAAAACAGAAAACCAAATTCGGTTCTGCAGTAATGCCTATAAATACACAAACTGTAAATTGTAAATTTCCTTAAGAATGTAGTAAAAGATTAACAACCAAAAAAAGGAGGAGGTGAAAATGATGTTAGAAACTTATGAGTAAAATGGATATAAGGTCATTCCCCAACTATTTAAGATTGTTTTGTCTTCTTACCTGCTATGCAAATAGACATTTATGTCAACTTTTCACCAAATGTGTAAAATAGCGAACTGATTTGTAAAAATGACGTTTTTACCCCTTGGTCATACAGAAATCATAAATAGTTGGGGACAGAAAAAAGTATTTGTATTTTTCACTTTAATTATCTACATTAAAAAAATGAAATTCCATTTTATATAAACTTCAAATGTAAATAGATCTCTCTTCGGAAAAAAGTATTTGTATTTTCACTTTAATTAATCTACATTAAAACAAAAAAAAACCCACAATAATAATAGTTATAACAGACCATTTCATTCATTTTCCTGTTTCCATTCCATCACACCAAACAAATATAACCACTTTCAAATAAATAGGAAAACACAGAAAATAGCACAGTTGAAAAAAAACATGCATAAACGGTTTCAAGTTTGAATCCCAATGTTGAAAGCAGGGACTTATGATGGAAAACAGGGGCTTAAAAAGACAATTTAGTTCATTCTGACTCTTCAGGTCAACAATACTCTACATGAAAAATACTTTTTCATCTTAGTTTCTTACAGTTTGAATGTTGCTCCAGAACTTATACTTATAAAGTTACAGACCATCTACCACATTTTGATATATGGAATGAAAAGTCAAAAGTCACAATCATATGTTATATCTTGCATCGATTTAGGAACATAAACAGTTAAGCAGGCACACACACGCATACACATTTGAGAAGCAGAAACTGATGTTAAAAAACAAACACACACATTAAAAAACACAAGAAGAAACAAAAGATAAACAAACAAGTTGAAAGTAGTTTTTTTTATAAACTTACCGGAAGGATTGAACTCTGTGATTGTGATTGAAAGGACGATTTTCCACTGTGATGATGCAAAACTTTGGAACACGATGCTGTAAACTCAATATTTCAAGAAACAGTGATAACAGATGAATTAGAATTGAGTTATTCATAGTATGTAACTTATAAAAATGATTTTTGGAAAGGATATCAAACTTTGGTTTGAAATTATACAGTATTCCAAATATTAGCTGTCAATGAACATATCTTTGAAACGTTTCCCAAGTTAGCATGATTTTGAAAGGGATTGACCAAATTTGTTCCTGATTATAAATGATCTATGTCATTCTAATAGTAATTCCTGCATATTAGGCACTATTTTCTTACATTCTAAAATCAATTTAAAAAAAAACGTAAATAAGGATTCCATAAATTAAGCTATTATATAAAGATAGAAAAATTAAAATTCATGAAAACAAATATCTTCCTTTTTAAAATAACCGTATGTTGCACCATATCACAATTAAAATTTTTGAAAATTTTTACCATACGGCTATATTTTTGTTATTTATAAAATTATTATTTTATCACTTATAGTGCCCTTAGTGGTGACTATATTTTTGTTATTTATAACATTATACAAAAGTTATACTTTTGCTATTTTAAGTTGTCAAACCGCGTAAAACACGAGTTGTAGCCTAGTATTTGATATAAATAACAAATATTGACTCTGCAAATTATTAGTTTTAGAATGTAGCATAAAATTACTTATACATCAAGTCAAGTTATGTATAAGAATCATAGACTGTGAAAGAAATTTGTGAAGATTTAAAAATATATCCAATAATAAGAGTTAAAAATTCTTTGTATTTGGTTGACCGGTTAAATTTTGTTGCAGGATGTGAAAGAGACTACACAGAAAAATACCTTGATTTACTGAAATATAAAAGACGATTATGAAGAAAATATGAATGTAATGTCCAAATATAAAGTGCAATATAATTATTGCATAAAGAATCAAATCCAAATTGCTTATAATAAAAGAAAAAGTAAAACCTAACACGAATGAATATTCATAGTGCACCAAACACAAAATATTAAAATCCCAAACAAAATCACAGTAAAAGAAAGGAAATATTTAAAAAAAATGGCTCGGAAAATAGCATAGATTAGCAAAGAAAGATTGAAGTTTTTGTCTTCATAAATAGGATCACTTTTCAACTTTAGGAATCAACAATTTTGTGTTAAATAGCCAACAGATTTGTAAAAATGACGTTTTTGCCCCTTGCTCATACAGAAATCATAAAGAGTTGGGGACAGAAAAAAGTATTTGTATTTTTCACTTTAATCAATCAACATTAAAAAAAGCCAAAATAATAGTGATAATAGACCATTCCATTCCTTTTCCTGTTTCCATTCCATCACACCAAAAAATATAACCACTTTTAAATAAATAGGAAAACACATATAACAGCACTGAAGTTATCAAGATTTTAAGGAGGTATTCACTTTCTTACCTGCTATGCGTAATGAAACCAATGGAGTTATGAAGAATATTTATACAAAGAAAATATGAATGTAATGTCCAAATATAAAGTGCAATACAATTATTGCATAAAGAATCAAATCCAAATTGCTTATAATAAAAGAAAAAGTAAAACCCAACACGAATGAATATCCATAGTGTACCAAACACTAAATATTAAAATCCCAAGAAAATCACAGTAAAAGTAAGGAAACATTAAAAAAAATGGTTCAGAAAATAGCATAGAGTAGCAAAGAAAGATTGAAGTTTTTGTCTTCATAAACAGGATCACTTTTCAACTTTAGGA